TCAGCCATGACGTCTCCTCTGTACTGGCTCAGCTCCCAGGAAAGAAGGGCCTTTGAGCCAGTCACCTGATGCTCCGTCCCCTCTTGATAGAAGGCAGGAGACCTCCGGGCTCAGTGAAGGCTTCCCCTCAAAGCAAGCCCCGGGGCAGCTCCTCATCAGCTGGGAGTCTGGACCATCACCCCCCGGCAGGGGGTCCCGGGGTGGGGGGCACTGATGAAGCAGGAGTTGGATGAGAAGCTGGATGGCTCCCCACCTCCCACTGACTCGGGTTCCCCCAGTGTGGCCTTGTGTGTTGCGAATTGCAGAAATACCAAACACTACCCACAGCTGAGTATAAGCACCAAAATGCTCTTGAATGCCAAGTGTGAGTGACTGAAATGCTCTCTCGATTTGTGCTGCTTCCACACGGCTTGCTTCCATTAGTGCCAGCGCAGGGAGCGCGTGCCAGCCTGCTCTCCCCCGGCTGGGCTTGCCTTCTCTCTGCTGCTTCCCCTTAGCTCTCTGCAGCCAGGAGCTGGGGGTGTGCTAGGGTCACGTTTTCCCTGTGAGGGGAGTGACCCTGCTTGTAGTTGTATTTGGTCTTCCTGGGAGGTCTCTCCATGGTCAGAAAGGAACACAGAAAATCCATTAGGCCTAACATCAAATCTCTTTCTAGGGTAATAGGTGTCACTGCTACTGAGATCTGAGTCAGAAACCCGCAGCCTCTTGGAGCCAGGTGTGGCTGAGTCCAGTGGTCCAGCTGGCCGGCCACACAGACGTCAAGCAGGGAGCCACCTCCTGGCTTATCAGGTCCTGCACTTTGCAAACGGCAGTGATGCACAGAGAGTGGCCAGGATCTTCCCTCCTTCGGGTTCCCTCTGCCCCCAGCCCCCTCCCCCTGCTCTGTCTGTTCTGGTTCCCACAATGCAGTGGAAGAGGCCAAAAAGGAAGTAGGGTGGGGTACACATCTAAGCTGAGCTTTATCTTTTGGGGCTTGTGAGTGAATCTCTTTTGAAGTGATTGAGACCATAAAGAACAACGGTGCTTGTTTTTCATTCCGGAGGCTTCAATTCTACAAGGAGCTTCTCAAGTGTTAAGAGGCTCACTGAGGTTGGCACTCTCTCCCTTCATGTGGTGCACCGTTCTCATGTTTGTCTTATTTTTGATGTGGTGGCCGGAGCCAATGAAAGCTAGCCCCCTCCTCCCCTTCCCCAGCCCCAGTTCAAAGTCATGAACCAAGAGCTTTGGGTGTCTGTCTCCACATCTCCTCTCTTCGATGTCTCTATAGGGCCCAGAACGTCATTTTCTCAGTCGCTTCCTGGAGCTTCAGCTCTCAGTATGTCCTCTGTTCATTAATGGGGCCAGTGGGATGCATGGGAGGGTGCTAGGGGCTATGGCGTGGGGCCACCCGCTTTGGGCAGACATTCCTGAGTGCAGACCAGGTGCCGGGCACCTGCCAGAAACAGAGGATGCAGAGCCCAGCCCAGCAGAGACCCCTCAGGGGCGCCCCAGCCTTCCCGGGGACAGAGAAGGGACACCCACCACACTCATGAAGGCCACCAACACCCTTTTAATTGCCACATCCAAAGATGCTTTTCAGCTTTCACACTTCTTTCCCTCCCTCCAGTTCCGGCCCTGTGGATCACCCCTCCTTTGGCCAATATTTTAATCAATAGATACTTATTAAGGGGCTCATTTATATGCCACGGGAAGTGGTACAGCACGGCGGTTAGAAGCAGGTTCTGGGTCATAACATCTGTCCTGACTTATCTTAGACGTGTGGCCCAGGTGAATTACGCAGCCTCGCAGGGGCTCAGTTTCCCCACCTATTAAATGGGATTAATAATATTACTTACCATGCAAGGTTTTGTGAGGATCAGATATGATGCAGGGAGTGTGCTTAGAACAAGGCCCTGGCACATTGTAGGTGCTCAATAAACACTGGCTACTCTTGTTGTTATTATTATTATTATTATTATTAGACAGTGTGCTAAGCACTAGGAATACAGCTGGGAACCCAACAGATTGGTTTCTTCCCCAAGAAGCTTTCAGGCCAGCATGGAAGACAGCCATTCAGCAAGTGGGCGTCAGTGTGTGAAAATAAAAACAGCAAGTCCAGAGCCACGCTTCCCACCCCCTGGGCTGCTGTGCTCTTCTGTTTTCCGGGTTCTCCAACCTTCCTTTCTCCAGCTCCATCACTGACTTGTCTTTTTCTGTTCTTCCACAGAGCAGTGACTCCACCAGACTCTGTAATTACTTCCTTCCCGTGTCCCTCACGCCCACCCCAGCTCCCCCACAGTGGCAGCTGGATGACAACAGGATGAGTGGAAGGCTTCGCCCCCATCGGGGGTCGTCCTGGGGCTGGGGTGGGGGGCAGCCGCAGGCAGTGCTGGAGTCGGGGTGCCCACTTCCTTCTCGGAGAGAGATGCCCTCAGACGGCCTCCTCTGCTCAGCACTCAAGGCTCCCCTAAGTCACCACGCTCTCCATGACTCACTTGAACCATCTCGGAAGAGGAGATGATAATACTCTTTATGTGGAGTTAGTTGACCATGTAGGTGTATATTCTCAACTATACACACACACACATAAACACACATGCATATAACACATTCGTATACACATACACATGCATACATGTATGTCTGTATATGTCAGTATATGTGCAGATATATATTAATATGTATATATGAAGAATCTCAAGTCCGGAGTCAGCATTCAGTGTAGCTCTAGCTGTTACTAGGCTCTGGAGCATCCCCGTGGGTTGGGGTTATTAGAACACAGTGTCTGGAATATAGAAATTCCTGTACAGTGCAGCTCAGCCTTGTGTAGTTACCAAGCTAGGAATACGGGAGAGGAGGTTGACAGAGACGGGATGAAGGAGATTTGCAGATTTGTGCACAGGTGGCTGTAAAGCAAGCCAGACTCTAAAAGAGAATCAAACTGAAGATGCACGTCTGGACACTCAGAAAGGACACTGTTCTGGCCATCAGCTGCTTGAGCTTAGAGAATCAGAAGAATGTCGATGGGGAGATGAGGCTGGAGGAAGGGCATTCTTATTGGAAGGCAGAGGAAAGCGAGCGAGCAAGCGCACAGATTTGGGCAGCCGCGTGGCGGGCGTGGGCTGTAAAAGGATGGGGTCCTCTTGAGGATTTTAAAAGGATTTAAAAAGGATTTTGACCAAGGTCAGTGTGCAAACCATGGTCTTGGACTTCCTGCTTCAGAATCAACTGGTCTGCCAGAAAAACATTCAGGTTTCTGAGTGCTTTATGTCTCCTAAATCAAATTCCTAGAGAACAGGGCCAGGGGATGGGCATTTTTAACATGTTCCCCTGGTGATTCTGATCTACCCTCAAGCTTGAGACCCCCTGATGTGGGTAAAGTCTCCAATCAATGAGATACTGGTGGGTGCAGGATGGAAGAGGAGAATGAGAAGGATCAGTGAACACTGATGCAGTTTTTATGGCTCAAGAATTATCAGCAAGACTCAAGCCCCTGTGCACTATGCATGCAGGCTGACCTAGGACAGCATCTTGACTTCAGAATTAAACCTCTCTTCTGCGTCCTTCAATCTGTGATTTTTGAAATTATAAAATTTCAAATTTAAAATTATAAATTATAAAACGAGGAACAGGACCAAGATTTTCTGGAGGTCATATTATCCTATTTGGATATTGAAACAAAGGCCACAGACACGCATGATCAGAACAACTTGACAGGTGACGGAATGGAATTAGCAACAGCCCTGCCGCGGAGCGAACAGGGAAGGCCTGAATCCCTCAAAGCACCAACAGAAATAAAAAGACCACTGTGTAGGGCCCTCCAAGGTGACAGGTCTCCTGGTGTTTTGCCACTTCCTGGTTCCAAAGAGTAAATTGTAAATTCACAGAAGTGAGCTCACAGCCTCCTAACCAGAAGGCCTCCATCAGGCTGTGGACTGCCCCTCAGTCTGGGGAAGATGGGGAGGAATTGAAGGTGTGGTCCTCACCAGAGATGACCAGGAGATCACTCAGGTGAGGAAGACCAGCGCCTTCCACTGACAACAGGAGAAAGAGAGGACTAAGGCCTTCCAGCTGGGCTTTTCCTGTTGTCTCTCATTTCAGGAGAAGGCTGACCTGTTTCCTTCCTGGGATGAACTGTGGTGTGCTTAACATGGAGAGGGAAGGCCCTGGACCATGTGGTGACGCAGACGAGAGGGAGGTAGATGGTCGTCCCCTGATGGCGGTGCTTTGCCGGTGCGTAATTCAGGTACATGACATCACCATCTGGGGACAGAAAGTCTTAGTGGTGAAACCCTGTTCAAAATGATGCTGTAACCACAAGACAGAAAACACCAACAGATAATAGAAGCGTGACTCTGAAATTCCTCTCATTTTGGAACTAAAAGCGGAAAGAAAAGCCGGACCTTTGGTGCCAGCTGGCGAAAGAGAAGATTAAAGGATGTGTCTCTGATGACTCAGGAGCTGAGATCTATTTCTTCATTTAATTTATTCTGTGTTTTTTGAAGTTGATAATGAGATAGAAAAACCTTGAGATTAAATTGACCCAGAAGCAAAGGAAGAAATTATCACAAGGGTTTTTCTAGCCATTTCCCCAACACTAAAGCCAAAGGAGGTAAAGTCATTGTCTTCTTTTTCTGTATATATATTTTATATTTTGCTATAAATATTTGTCCTTGCTCATAAAATGGCTTTAGCAAATACAGAATTCTAATCACAGTGTAAGATTATCATAATGAAATTGTAACCTTCAACAATGACAAGTCTGCAAGACATAGCAAGATGCAGTGATTCATTTGAACTCTGCAGGTACTTTGAAACTCATTTAGCCTGAAGTAACTGAGAGAAAGTTCCGTATGACACAAGTATATATCATCTCTCACTTACAAAGTAATACAATCCAGAACAAACAAAGTAATAGTCAGGAAAAATTCTGATAGAAAATAGAAGTCCTGGCTTAAGAACTCAGTGTGTGCCTGCCAGATTTTAGTAATAAGAGAAAAAAAAACCGCAGAAAACAAAAATTAGGGTGATTATTTGTATTTAAGTAGATTTTTCAGAGTTGCTGTGGGGTTGTTTTAATCAAATATTCATCATGATTTACGGCTCCATTTTTTTTTTCTGCACCCAAATACTTAGGGAGAGGTCTAACACATAAAACAAACCAAGTATATCCTATTACCCATTTATCAGATCAGCACATCTTTTCTGACTCTGTTCTTTGAATAAATAGGTGTCACTTTTTCAGCTGTGACTTAAAGAAATGGCCAGTGACACAGGGCAGGTCTTCATGACCCTGCAGGACGGAAAGTCAAGGACTGTTGTTGTTTACATTTCTTGGACAAGCACAGCTCCTCTGCCTGACATGCTGTGTCTGTGTGATTATGGAACATGATCTATGACTCATTTTTGCTAAGAATGAAGTATTTCCTGTGTCTACAGTCACTGAGACCCACGATTGCCACACACGGTCGCTTCCGCCCCTGGTCTCCCTTCTGCTCACCTCAGAGATAAGCTTCCGGACTTCTCACGAGAACAGCATGCGGGTGCCTGATGTGTTTCCAGTGGGAGATCCTGGGTCACTGAGATACACCCAAGTATTACATCCTGGTTCTAGCTGTGACGTGAAGCCTGGCACAATGGGATTGCTGAGAGGCAATTTCTTCTAACTACGAGTATCTTGTCCCTTTCTCTTCTGTCCTTGGAGTTATTACCCCATTTTCCCCTCATTTACAGCATTACTCCTGCTCACACGGAGGTTAACACTAATTCTGATATTAATGTATAACTTTCTTACTCAGGGTCAAATACCACACTCAATGCACAAAAAGTACTTGTTATACAAGCCAGACACTGGTCTAAATTATTTTAAAATGTTAATCTTTGTAACAACTATGGGAGGTTTGTATTATTGTCCCCATTTTGCATCTGAGCAAACTGGCACAAAGCAAAAGGTGAGTTCACTTGCTGAGGCTAGGCAGTAAGCAAGCGGTGGGGCTCAGATGGAAACCCGCACGAATCTGGCTTCAGAGTCCACGCTGCCAACCATGTCGTTCTGTTACCTGCAAGAAATTCGAAACGGTCCTCCAAGGTCGGTATATTAATGTCCTCATTTTGCTGATGGAGAGACTGAAGCACAGATGGCCCATGTCATCTTTGTAGCATCGTACACTGAAACCTAAGCCATCCGATTTCAGAGGCTTCCAACTTTTTCTCCTACATGGGCTCCCTGGAGGCGATATTACTGGAGACTGTCTTCTGCCGGCTGGGTTTGTGAAGAACCTCCATGCAAAGGTTAGCCCTTTGGTGGTTAACAGCTACTGGAGAGCCAGCTATTAAGAGAAGCAGAAAAGGTTGTCAGTGCTTTCCAGGCTGCAAATACCACGTCTACATCCTACTGAGTCTCAGAGGCTCTACCTGGGGCCTTGACTTCAGGGACAGCGGGGGAATTCAGACCTCTGGGCTCTGACGCTCGGATTCCATGTCTTTAGGAGTCAAAGCTTTCGTCTGGAGCTGAAGCAACATCTCGGGTTCAGTCTGCAGCGCACCTGCCGATTTCCCATTAAACTGCCTGCCGAATCAGGAATAATGATTCTCAGGGGGAAGAGAGATTATTTGCATTTGAATTAATGTTGAGTTCAGAGCCACAGCTTCCTCATCAAGAAGGATTTAGAGCAATTGCTGATATCCTGGGGATCTGTGACCAGCTCATTATTTTCATCTCGCAGGGTAGTACTAGGATTTTTAATTTTTTTTTCCAAGTCTTCTTTCGAAAGTTTGGCTCTTTTTATCCCCATGATCATAATTATAATAATTTTGAAACACCAGCCTGCTCAGATATCAAGGTGTTGAACGGGTAATTTCACGTTAATGAATTTGTCTCGTATGGGCTTATTTTCCACATCTGTCCTAGGCTGAATAGCTAACTGGTTAATATGAGAACTGTTCCGTTTCATTAACTTCTCCCTGTTGATCTACTTGAGGTGGAACTGATGCATTGCCAGTTGGAGAGCCCTGGCAGCTCTTTCTTTTTAGGTAAAACATAACTGCAAATTCTGTTCTAAGGCCCTGATGCCAACTACGGAGAATTAAAAAAATGAAATAGTGTGATCATTCAGGTAAACTGCCGGGTTCCGTATACTGGGTGGCTTCCGAGAGATTAGCAAGTCCTTGTCATGGACGTCACAAACACTTGGACCCGAGGCCATCTTGGATAAAATGCACACGTAAGGCCGCAAAGTCCTGGCAGGAGTGGAGAGGGAAGAAGGTCTGACGGATGAACTCCAGAGGGGATAGGAGAAGAAAAAGGCAGGCAACAGGGTGGAAGGGGACCCAGCAGGCTTTGTTGGGGGTCTTGAGTTGCAGTCTAACGATTTCTAACCTTTTAGGAAGGAGGTCTCTTGATTGCCACGGTGGGCTAGGAGGATGCTTCGGGAAGGAGTTTAAGGTAAAAGAGAAGATGTCGGTGGATTACGGAGCCTCCTGGTGCCTCCCTCATAGGGCCCTAAGTTCTGCCGAGGGGGAGAAATGATCTGTTAAGATGCTCTGGGCTGTAAGAGAAAACACGATGCAAATAATCAGATAATCAGCAGGTATACTGTCTTTCACATCCAGAAGGTAGAGTGAATGCACTGCGGGATTGATTGATTCAATGACTGTATCATCGAGGACCCAGTTTTTTGTGTCTTTCTGCCCTATGTTAGCATTGGTTTCATTCTTAAGCTGTTCTCCTCAAGGTTGTATGAGGACTGCCAGCAAAAATCGGGGCTGTGCACTTCCCTGCTCACTTCCCTGGGGTTTGGGAAGGAAGAGACACTCTTTGTTGGTGGAAGAAAAATCCTTCACTTCAGTCTGATTGGACCAGTGTAGGTCTTGTCCCGCCCCGGCACCGGTAACTATTGCCAAGAGAATAGAATCGTAAGAGGCCGGCTGAAGGCTGAGCTCCAGGACCCATCACTGTCAAGGGGTGTGGGGTTACCTGAATTATGCTGGACGAATCGGCGCCGGCTCTTGGGGCTGGTGATGGCGTCAGCTTTCTGTGAGACCCGTGGGCTCTGTGGAGAAAGGTCTGCAGGAATGAAGGAGAAAAGAACAGAGTAACAGCACTCACTGTGCCAATCTACAAAACACAGCCGCCAACTGTACCGTAAGACGGTAATGATCTCAGCTCAAGTCTGCCGACCCCAGAGGGAGATCAAGGCCGGACCGCCTTCCCCTAACGCTTTGACACCAGGCTCTTCTGCTCCAGTGCTTATGAGCCCCGCAAACAGGATAAAAATGGAAATGAAACCAGAAAACAGAAAGCAGCACCGAGAACTGTGCGTGGGAGGCTCTGTGTTGGGTGTGTCAGGTTGTGTCCTCCGCCATGTCCCCTAAGTGTTTAGAAGGACGGAGACTTGACTGGGGCCTGCTCTGTACCTCCCAGGACTCCACGAACCGTTAATATCCAACCAAAAGAGTGAGCCCCAGTCTCCGTGTTCACATGTAGAGCCTTCTTGCTTGGTGAAACTGACAAACGCAACTCTCTAGCAGTCATAGACTCCTTTGAACATTTAGTCAATTTTTAATGCACATCATTTCAAGTGTACTTTTAGTCCTACCTAAGGATACAGAAATGTTTCACCATTGTCCTTTCTGTGTATTCTTCAGTTTACCTTTTGGAATAATGGATGCGTATCATCTTTTTTCTTTAAAGTTCAGGTGTGCATGAGGAAATCACCACCTCCTCCCAGATTATCCAATATCTGTGTCACTGGTGTAAAATTTTAAGGAGCTGTGAAGTGGATGATTGATGTCCTAGGAAGAGCTGGATGTGGGCAGTCACTTGGTGCTTTCAAATAGGATGAGCTTAAACTAGCCCATGTCCAGTGAGAGAAACAACAGGGGTCCTATGAGAACAGAGGATAAAAGTTTGGTATCAGAGACTAGGGACAGTGGTAGAGGAGGGAGCCATTGATGTTGCAAGTAAGAAAGAGCTTGGCTTCCGGTGCGAGGTGTGCAGACTGGCTGGAGAGGAGGTGGCCCAGAGGGTAAGGTCAGAGACTCAGCCCCCTGACAACAGCTAAGAGAGAGAAAAGACAGAAAGAAGCAGGAGACACTAGGGTCATGGCTGGAACCCTTGTGCACCTTCCTTTCTCTAAAATGGCAGCGTGGCTGATGTGCTGGACACACAGTGGCTCTCCCTGTACCCGCCAAGTCATTCCAGGTGTGAGGTAAGCACTGTGACAACGCAGCCAGCAGAAATGAATAGCCAGGCCATTCCACAGGGGCTTGAAATTCCTGATGGGCCATGAAGAGTTCAAGACACTTGAAGGACCCCTGTGATGGGGAATGGAAGACAGTGAGCAGAGTGGGCATATGGGTTTGTGGTGAAGGGCTGCTGAGAATGATACCCTGCAACTTGAATCTAGAGCAGGATTTCTCAGCTGCAGGACCATGAACATTTGGGTCTGGACAATTCTTTGTGGTGGGAGGCTCTCCTGTGCATTGTAGGGTGGTTAACAGCATCCCTGGCCCCTACTCCCTTGATGCCAGTAGCATCCTCCCACCACCAGTTATGACAGTCAAACATTTCACCTGTTCCCTGTTGAAAGCCTCTCCTCCCCGACCCTCAGAGAACCACTGCCTTAGCGTGAAGTGGGCGCTCGAAGGGTTGGGAATAATTAAGGGTTGGTCAGATGGGTGAACAGCTTCTCCCTAAGATCCCAAGGCACTGGTGAAGGTGATCAAGAATAGGCACAGATTCTTTTACAGCTAAAGAATAAACTTTGGACCCCGGTGTAGGGAACCTTGTAAAGGTGGATTTAGGACCAAGAAGTCAACTGGATGAAAACACCGGCCAGGACCAGTTTATACAAAAAGTGACATGAGGATCCGTTGAGAACTGAATTGGATGTAACTAAATACCTAAGAGTGAACAAAACCCACAGATTATTTTACATGGGTGTCACAACAGCCGTGCTGATGACAGGACCCCGAGTTACCATGCACCTGGTGCGTGCCAGGCGCTGCGGCAAATAGATTGTACCGATTTATAATCCCACACTGCCCTGCAAGGCAGGAACTGCCCTCGTTTTGTTCATGAGGAATGTGAGCTAAGACGGTTTTCCACATCTTGCCTGAAGTCTTGCCACATCTGCGGCAGAGGCTGGCGAAACCCAGTCTAACGCCAAAGCCTGTGCTGTTTTCTCTACAACACATTAGACATGATTAGAATATAGGGTGCATGTGCTCCACAGAAACTACCATGAGATCCTAATTACCATGTATGACAGCGTGTGTTACATACACACATACCACATAGGTGCATACCATAGAAGTTCACGTGGTAGCTCATCAAACTATTAAACACAGAAGGCAGCTGATATTTACTATTGGGACCTCTGACACCCTCATTCCCTGGGAGCTCAGAGTTCTGAGGCTCCCTGAGCTCTTTTGAATCCAAGTGGGGAGGGGGCTGGGTCACAAAAGCCAGCCTGCTACTGTGTAAGGGAAGTGTCTGCTGGTGGGGCAGGGGTTAGGGTTGGGGGGTGCTGCTGAGGAGGAGCCCCGGGGCCAGGGCTCTTGGGTCTGAGATGAAGATTCTCTAGAGCAGCTTCTTAAACTTGAATGTGCAAAGAAGTCAGCTACTGTTCTGGTTAAAATGCAGGTTCTGATTCAGAACCTGGGGCCCCGGAATTCTGCATTTGTAACAAGCCTCCGAGTGATGCTGGCACTCCTGGTGGGGGTCTAGTAGCATCGGAGAAGGAAACCTTATTCTTCGTAATGTTTCTTTGTAAAGCAAGTCAACTAAGAAAGGACCTGGCCATAAGCTACAGGACACAAGAGAGCCAAAGACAGAATGCTCAGATGTTGAGTGGGGAGGCCGGGAGAAAAGGACAAACAGGACCTTCCCCTCTGACAAAGAGCTGATCGGAGACAGAGGCACAGAGTGGCCTGAAGCGTTAAAGAACAAGTGTGCCAGGCAGTTTGTAAAATTACGACTTCACACAGCAGGTAGTGAACCTGTGGAACTCATTAGCCCTAGGCTTTAGTAAAGATTAAAATACAGTGAGGACAATGCTATAAATAAAATAGTAAATTACATGCTTGCAGTGGGTTACTGAGGGAAGGAAGGATATTTTGGAACACCTCCCTAGCTTTTGAGGTTGACACACATGTAAGCTCTGTGCTCATAGTTTCTCAACCAAAAATAGGGGTTTATGATTCACAAAGAACTCCTACCTCCCCTGCCCCCCGCCCTGTCTCTGGGTTTAAGACAATAGTGGAAGATACAGTATGGATGCCAGAACATGACCATTTCCAGGGCTTTTTGATGGTTTCTGAGAGCGGAGTGCTAAACATCCGAAGTGAGCATGTCCTGGGGAATCCAGGGTCTGTGTCCGCCCTTTCAGATACCACATTGGGCCAAGTTGGGTTGAAGACTTGATGAGCTTGTGTTCTGCACTTTGGGGCTAGACCCCCGGCACCTCGGCTCCCACAAGCCAGCGCTCTTTTGGTTCCAGGGTGTTAGCTCCTCTCTGCTGATTTCCTAAGGTGGCTCGTAGGACGTGTCTCAATGTTCTGGTCATCGCATCTACTGAATTCACTGGTTTATTCCAGAATGACTTGTAAATGATGACACGCCCAACACTGGGTAAATGAAAACACACTAGCTCTCTCCTCTGATGACCCTCACAATCAAGAGGGGGGAAGGGGGCAGCAAAGTTTTTCGTTTTTTATGTATCTTTTCAACAGCTTACTAAAGAAGGATGGTTTACGATCACATACACCCGGGGACGTTCTCAGAAGGGATGTTTCGTGGAGGGCTCCTCTAGGGAAATGACTTTCAAGTGGAAATGCTGAGGGTGAGCAGGAGTTAGCACGACAAAGAGGGAGAAGAAAGCTCTGGGAATAAGTAAGGCAGGAAAGAGCCTGCAAGTAGCATTGGTGGACGTCCTGATGGGGGTAAGACTGCTGTCTGCCGACACCCGGAGAGACCATTCATGGAGGGCCCTCTGGGCTGCAGGAAGTTCGGGTTTCCTCCCAGAGACCCTGGAAACCTGTCAGAAGGTTTTGCGCAGGGGTGTGTCCTACCTCGCTCCAGAGCTCAGGGCACTGCAGCCGTCAACACCGAGATGGAGACTTGAGTCTGCGGCTTGGGTTTAGAGCCAAGCCCAGCAGACGGAGGGCTGCGCCCATCATCTACTGAATGGTTCTGGGTCACTGTCCAACCTGGAAGGCACAGGATGACACTGTGGCAGAGAAGAGGGATGGCGTGAATAAGTGCAATGTGTGAAAGAAAAGAGCTGCCCGCCTCCCCCTCTGGCGTGGAGTAGGAGTCGGGGCACTCAGGGGTCCGTCATCAAGTAAGTCTTGTGCCTACAAAGGCTTCTCTAAGGGTGACAATGAGAGTGCTGTAAAGGCCTCAAAAAAATGATTTTCTATTCCAGATTCTGTCACCTGCATGTAGTACTCCCTCAGGTTTGGGGGCATAATTTAGATTGTTATCTTTTTTTTTGCTTTTCAGGGGGGAGATAATTAGGTTTTATTTATTTATTTATT